GCATAGCTTCTAGGAGGATCTGTTCCATGATCTTCCCAGGCACAGAGGTGAGACTGACTGGCTTGGAGTTCCCAGGGTCCTCCTTTCTACGCTTTTAAAAATGGGTGCAATGTTTCCCTTTTCCCAGTCACCAGGGACTTCACCTGACTGCCATGACTTTTCAAATATCGTGGAGAGTGGCTTGGCAACTACATCAGCCCATTCCCTCAGGACTCCAGAATGCATCTTGTCAGGTCCCATAGACTTATGTATGTTCAAGTGCATCAGGTGGTCACAAACCTGATCTTCTCTTACAGTGGGAGGGACTTTGCTCCTCCAGTCCCTGTCTTGCGGTCCATCCACTTGAGAGGTGTGGGAAGAGAGATTGCCAGTGAAGACTGAGGCAAAACAGTTGTTGAGTACCTCAGCCTCCTCCTCATCTGTTGTTACCAGTTTGCCAGTCGTGTTCATCAGCAGGGTACACTTTCTTTCACCTTCCTTTTCTGGCTGACATACCTATAGAAGCCCTTTTTATTACTCTTTGCATCCTTTGCCAAGTTCAGCTCCAGCCGTGCTTTGGCCTTCCTGATCCCGTCCAGTGAGACGCAACTGTGAATCCCAAACATCCAAGCAACTTGACTTCAGACATGAGTTCTCTATTTTGTGTAAAATGAATTTGATTTGTTCTAGTCTATTATGTAAATCAGTATTTGAGCATATGCCTAAAGATTGGATCTTTTACTAGATCAGCCTTGTTAAATATGATTGCATGAATTATTCTTCATTAGTTTGCCCGACCTATTTCCTCATATTCAAGCAATAGCAGTTGTAGGTGCTCTCAAAAGGAATTAAAAAAGTGATACAATAAAAATTTATTTGTTTTAGGCATATTATCTTGCATCGAACTGGGCGATATCACAGTTTGTTGCACTTTATGAAAGGATCTGTATTTAAAGATTTTTTTTCTAGATGGCATTCATCACCACAGTTAAGTGGGCTTGTTGCACACTGTCAAAACAAAAGTTCAACAAGAGTTGTTGATTGCAGCAAAACTTCCGTTAAACAAAAGTTGAAAGCTTTTTTCTTTTAAATGAGTTTGCCAGCTTTCTTTGTCAGTCAGGCTTCGGTCCCGAGATACTTAAGCCAAATTTCCTTTTAGGGTTACATAATCTGCAAGTGGCTTAAACTGGTCTTCAGTGAACAATATTGAATTGAAGAACATGCCTCTGTGCTTCTGCACTGGTTCAGCTGGGATTGATCATAAGGCACACTAGGATTCATCAGTTAGAAGTGACTTTGCGGGGGGATGAAACTCTCTTTTAGAGGATTTTAATTTGACATGTTCATTTGAATAAAATTGCCATTATGTCATCTATAGATTTGATGGACCTCGGGGAAGAGGATATGACAAATTTGAAGGCTCAAGACAGAGAGGGCCTCGTTTTGACTCCCAGCGCTCAGAAGGATACAGGTCACGTTTTGACCGACAGAATACAGATGGACAGTCTTCGAGTAGATGGGGGACTATCCCACGAGGACCAGCAGCACAATTTTATACTTCGACAAACACATCACATGGACATGGTTCCCGACCTAGTGGTCCACGGTGGAGGGGGCCCAGGCCTCATTTGGGACAGCAGCAGCAGCAGTCACAGACAGACTCACAGTCAGAAAACAAAGAACCTTTTACAGACGTAGCTGGCAATCAGCAGACTGTAAGCAGAACACAGCCTACTCCCGATGCACAGAGTGCAGGTCCCATTGAGCCGAATGAGGACCTGACAAACACTCAACAGGAACCATCCAAACCTGAAGTCAAAGAAACTATTTCAGACCCTCCTAAAAAGTGGACGTGGAGTTCACATGATCCTAACCAGCAAGTAGAAGAGTCCAAAGCACCTACTCCGCCTATTCAGAACCAGAAATCAACATCCCTTTCTAGTAACCCTGTAGCTTTGCAGTCAGGTATTGCAAGAACAGGTGGTGCGGTAACACCTGTAACAGGAAATCAGGATTTGGATTCACCAGACGGCCAGTTAATTGCTTCAGATAGCACCCAGGGCCTACCTGGACCAGAAGGCAGAGGGAAAGGGCCATTTATGCATGAAGATAGAGGCAAGGGACCAGTAAGCAGAGGAAGGGGCCAGGGCAGACTGGATGATGGCTGTGGCAGAGGGCAGGGGGATGGCCGTGGCTGGGGAATGGGCCGTGGCCGAGGGATGGGACGGATGGACGGTGGCCGAGGGATGGGACGGATGGACGGTGGTTGGGGAATGGGCAGGATGGATGATGGCCATGGCCGGGGAATGGGCAGGATGGACGATGGCCGTGGCAGAGGATATGTTTACAGAGGCAGAGGGCAGGCTAGGCAGGCATCCATCCGTGGCAGGGGGATGTTCAGGAGAGCAGGCAGCAGGGAGAGGATGCCAGACAGGCGGTCAGGCAGCAGGGAGAGGATGCCAGATGGACGGTCTGGCAGCCGAGAGAGGGGACTGGGTGGACGGTCAGATAGCCACGAGAGGGTATTCTCTAGCAGAGATAGAGAGCTAGCTGGGCGGACAGGCAGCCGGGACAGGGGAAGGGCGAGTAGCCGGGAGAGAGGCCCAGTCAGGCGGGCAGGTAGCCGGGAGAGGGAGCCCATGCGGCGGGCGG